TCCCTGTTTGGTTAACAGCTTTCGGGGAGGGTGCCGCATGCCCTCAATCGGGAAAGCAGTTACAGGCTAACCAAACATGGCCTAAAAAACTAATTAATTGGTGGGGATTATATAAAAATAATTACTTTACATAATTTTTATGTATCTTTAAATAAATACATGTAAATTTTATGATAAATAAGAATCTCATTTTCAAAGTTTCAACCTTTTAAATTAACATAGCTGAATTTGAAATCGATTAATAACAACGTATATCAACCAATCCCATAAGTTGGGTTCAATTCTCCTCTCCAAAAATTACCTTTGATAAAAAAAAAATAAAAAATAAAACAAAAAAAACCTTTTGAATTAAAAACTCAGATTAGACCGACCTTCTCTAATGGGTATGCTTTTTTCTTGCAGATTTGAGCATTTGTCTTCGGTGCCAGAGAAGGAGGGAGCTTTTGGTTTGTTCTCAGCTGGAAGGCCAGGAAAGAAGAGAAATATTGTACTGTTAAGAGAAAATGGAGAAATAAATGGTTTGTTTGGTGCACGAGAAATGATGGGAAAGAGAAAAAAAGATTCCTACATGTTTGGAATTTCTTTGTGAAACGGCCTTTCTCCTCTTGAAGCGCTGCTCAAAGTGGGGCTTGCAGTACAGGACTCCTTCCAGGGAGCAATGGTTACAAAAATTAGACCTTTTGCATTTTCTTTCTACTTTTCTCGGAAAAGAAACAGAAGCAAGATGTTACATACCACAAGAAGTCCATTGTTCAGCTGAAAACCATCAACCAATACCCTATCCATGAAACGAAAAGTCCTCTCACAAGCCTTGCATTTCTCCATTGCTCAGCTGAAAACCATCCTTATTTATTGTTGAATTGAATCTGAATGAAAGACAATCTAAGGTCTGATTCTTCTATATCAGAAAAATGAGATAGAAATGTCATCCATTGGCAATCAAATGAGAAAAAATTTGAATTTGCAACAATTCAAAATGGTAAAGATGGTGAATATCAACAATTGGAAGCTTCATAAAACAACTGATATGGAACTTTATTTCTCATATTAATGAGTCTCCCCACATGTACACACAGTGTAGTGAATATATGCACACATTAGAATAGTTTCACAGAATAAAACAATACATTTGTGTATAAGAACATTAGAAAAGGAATAACCCAGAGGACAAATGAAAATGGAAAACCCTTTTTTCCGCTCCTTGGAGCTTTCAGTGAGCAGTCTTAGTTAGTAGCCGAAACATCCTAGAAACTTCTTCGGTGTATACCCAGTTGCACGGAATTTTTGAGCTGTCTCCCCTATTTTGTGAAAATCTTCCCTTCTCTTGACTTCTACCATAGCTCTCTTTTCCTCTGCTTCCTTGTGCATTTCAGCTATTTTGTTTTTCATTTTTTCTGCATATTCTGCTTTCTTCTTTTCCAGTTCTTCCTGTGATACAAGGCTTCTGTCAAAAACAGTTCCTCGAATCGGATGTGCCAATTCAACATAGAATGTTAAGTTACTACCTCAATCTTCTTCAATTCTGCCTCAACAGATGCTATCTTGCTTTTCTCCCATGATCCTATAGCACATATTTTCTTATGTGCCCTGCTTGACAATATTAATATGATAACTAGGTGGTTCAAATCAAGAATGTAAATTTGTCACAAGTGGAATTTAAAGTACTGTGAAGGCATTTATTCAATCCAACCCTAATGCATATAAACATGTCTATGGAACATAAGGCCTCTTACTGGTTATCTGCTTTTGCCTTTTCATTTTCTTCCCATGCTTTCACTAATGCGTTTCTCTTCTCTGTTGCAAGTTGTGCAAGCACAACATCTGAAACAAAGCTATCTTATATTGAAAATTACTTCAAAAACAAGTCATCACCAACAGATGCTGGAAGACTAATATCTTGTTTACCTTTGTCAATTGGACTAGAACTTTTTTCCGGTGCTGCTGCAGGAACTTCTGTCATATTGAAAATTCAAGTAGATCATGACTCAATAAATGAAGAACAGTCATCTAAACATCACACAAATAATAGGAGATTTCATTGAGATGGTCAGGGAAAACCATGCTAAACTTTGCAAAGAAAAATATACAAACTTTCAGGAACTGGGATCAAGCTCTCTTCTTGAGCTATATCGTTTTGAGCTGCATCCTCCTCTTCATTGACAGGAACTGAAGCCTCATCTTTCTCTGGCCCTTCCTCTTCCATGACGAATTCCTTTAACTTAGCCAGAAGGACAGACCAAGACACAGGAACACAAGATTGATACTTCCGACCAGATTCTGGAAGATCCCAGATAAGTTTAACTCCAACTGCTATATACAGAAACAGAAGAGACAGAGAGATAGATGAAGAAGAAACTCCCTTGTAAATGTCAGCTAGGTGGTTGACAGGTTGTGGTAGGTATAAAATAGGAGTTGTGTCCTGATATATAAGGTTGTCTGATTGATGCGTTGGCTTCATTTAGACTCTGGAGAGGAATTTTTCTATTTTTTTTTTTTCCCTCTTCTTCTTTTGTTTAATGTTTGAGTAGCTTTCTTGACGTGAGAATTGAACATTAGGACCAATGATGTATAGAGACATTACGTAGCTGGAGAACTCACAACCCAGGATTTGCTGTTTTCCTTTCTGCCGGATTAGTTACTGATATTCCAGTTGAATTCCGGGAATCATGTTTCTTTCTTCTCTTTGTTACCAAGATTAACATGCAGTGGCTTTGAATTCTGGTTAGCTTAACGTGACTTTTCCCTTCAAAATATAGCTACGCCGTCCCTTAAGGAAAATACTTGGATTGGGGATTGGGAAAAGACATCCAATTCTATTGGTGGATGTCTTGCAATTTTGTTCTCTTTTAAAATTACAGTTGGATTGGTGACAAATTATTGGACCGATGGCTTTAAACCTCTAACATCCTAAATAAAGTTTTTTAAGTTATTGAGTCTTAACTCGGATAAGTTATTGTTTGTATCTATTGGATATTCATTAAGCAGAAAAAACAGAGGCTATGACATTGAAAATTCCACCTAAGAAGCAACCATAATTAAAAGGCTTCTTTAATTTACAGTTATCAGTCTTATGAATAGGGCAACATCATTGTTAGAGTTACCTATTCTCCAAGTTACTTTCTCTATCACATGGCAGAAAAATGACATAATACGGCATGCTAGGAGCAAAAGTGTTTGAAATGGGTAAAAGTACGTGCAAAAATCCAATACATAACTAGGTGAAAGAGATAATCAGAGATTTTACAATGATGGCGGAATTTGTAGCATAGAGGGCCTTTATTGTTGTCGCTTGTGAGATTAAGAATAAGCATTAAAAACAACACCAAAGGAGGTCAATTTTAGTGAGCAGATTGTCACGGGGTCAGACTAGCTCCGATGGCCCTTGCTTCGGAGGCGGAATCTAGCTCGACCTCGTGCGGCACTTAGCTCGGAATTAACCCCGTTAAACCCGAACCAAGTCAGCCTTCCCAACACTGGCGTGGCCCCTTAACTGGGCTTGAGGTTAGCAACAGAAACAAGAAGGTAGGGAGTTGGGAGAAGAAGAGAATTTATTAAATTGCAAGGGAGTGTACAAGAGCATGAGTACAAAGCCCCTCTCTGCACTCACTCTCACCTAGCAGCTCACTCTCTATCTCTGGCTCACTCCAGACTCCATCTGGAACCTCTTCTACAAAGGCCACCCCTATTTATAGAAGAGTCCAGCCCAAGAGCTTCTGCAAATGAAGGCTCTAGAACACCCCACACAAATCCCTTCATTTGTACAATTACTGGAATACCCTCCATTCTCCCTCCTAAGCCTACATTATTCTAGAATCCCCTATTCTAGAATTATCTACAAGGCCCAGGAGAAACCCCAGGTTGGGCTTGACCCATTAAGCCCCTTCCCAGACCCCTTGTCTGGTACTGTTCACGCGTCCTCATCCAGAGCACTGTTCTGATCCTTATCCCCTTCAAGACCAGTGTTCTGGCACTGTTCACG